TGTCACACATTATACATCATAAAAAAAAAAAAACATTAAGTATCTTATACATATTTATTCCAACAATAAACATGTTCATATAATATTACTCAAGAAAAAAGTTAAGCAGTCAGCAAAAAATAGACGTACATGCATCTATCACCCACTCACAAGACACCCTTACCTGGTGATATTCCAATCACTAAGCTATGGCTGTTCACCACACTCCGTGAAGTATTTTAAAGGCTTGGTATTGATGTTTATGATGTTTGGATAATAAAGTTTATGCATCATTTTAAAACAAAATGTTTGGACCTTTCTCAGGTTTATAAAAAAACAAGAAGATTAAAAAAACAAGAAGTTAAAGATCTTTTACTTAAAGGGATGTTTCAGCAACTGCAAAACTATAAAAACATGAATGTCTTTTGGTTGGGAAAACAAGCAGCATTCTACAGAGGTGCTAAGAAAGTTACCTCATACATTGTTTAGACTCCTTCCGTTTTCCCCTCTCAATGTTTTTTACCAAACCCTATATGTAGATGATGAAGCTGCAGGGTTTGTGGATCTGCTATGAGGAGGTTACATCTGCAAGATCTGCAAACACCCTGACTGAATGTGTGTGTTTGTTGCCTTTGTTGCTATTGTTGGCATAATTACCTGTAATTGCCCTGCTACATATTCATGTGGAGATAAAACAAGTTGTCCAGATGAAATTATGTCTGGCATATTGAAGAGGTTTGAAGTAGCTGGACCCTAAAGCATCTTCTTGTGGGTAGGGGGTTCCAGATTGAAATGATCTGATGGGTTTCTGGGATAAAAGATAACAATAACACTGTGGAACCCACTAAAAAGTGAAATACAGCTCTGATAACGGCAGGTAGCGGCTTTAATCTCTCCAGGCACTCAGTACCAGGGAGGCTGATTTCCTGAATGTAGGAACACAAAGTTTATTGTAGGACCTGCCCTGTAATGTCTCTCATTGTTTCACTTAAAAATAAATTGTTTTGAGTTGTAGCATAATCTGTTTTGTAATTTTTTTTAGCTCTGGATCTTCAATAATGTGCTCCAGTTGGAGTCGAATATAGCAGTTTCCTGTCTCATTAACAATTTGTATAAATTAAAATGGGTATTTTAAAAGAATATCTAACAACAAGACATTTCAGACATGTAAAATCAAATTGTATTATCATCTGTAAGAAAAAAAAAAAAACACCTATTATGTCTTGATGAAACCTCTGTAACTATGCTTTATTTAACATCAGCTGCACAAATCGTTGCACAGGTAATGTCTGCAGGTGGATCTATGGGTCCCAAATGTTTGTAGCCTTATTCATGATATTTTCTAAAAGCTTTATATACCGACATATTCTGGTGAGGGAAGGCAGGTAATTTGAATTTGAATGGAATTGCTCAAGTTTTAGTGAGAAGCTCTTGGGGCTTTTGGATATGTTGCACTTTATCTCTCTTATCTCTTAAAAAATACCTTTATGAAACTTGCATTCTGATTTTACAGATGTAGTTTGCTATTCTCTTTGCATTTTTAATGAAACTTAATTTTCCAATCCATCTTAACTTAACGTCCTTAGATGGAAAACTTTCAACCAATCTGACTGTATGATCTGGTTGAATTGTCTCCGTAAAATGCCTTGAGAAGACATGTGTTGTGAATTGGCGCTATGTAAATAAACTGAACTGAATTAAAATGAAAGAGCAAGACAGAAAAAACAACAAAGAAAACATGAGGTTGAAATTTGATTCTGAGTTATTAATGAAAATAAAGTGAAATGAAATGTGCTCTTTATGATAAAGCCTATGAAATGGAAACCTGCTTAGATTTTAATAACAAAAAATGAGTAAAATTTTTTGATATTCTATTTTTTTCACCACTGTCTTGAAATAAAAACTGACATATCTCCATTTGAACGATGCTCTATGAAAGTTTAACAACATATGAACTAATATGACCTTATATATTCCTGTTGTCATTGTTTTGCTGTGAAGCTGAAACTAATGAGAAGTAGAGGGCAACAGATGAGGCAAACCTTTTCTCCCTTTCTTTTTTCCAGGTGACCATTTTTTTCTCAGATATTGTGGGCTTCACATCCATCTCTGCATCCTGCACTCCTCTGCAGGTGGTGGAGATGCTTAACAACTTGTACATGTGCTTTGACACTCGCATCGACTCCTATGACGTCTATAAGGTAACATGGCCACACAAATACAATTCAATTCAATTCAGTTTATTTATATAGCGCCAAATTCACAACACATGTCATCTCAAGG